CGCTTCTATTTGAGCTGCTGCAAGTGCACGTCCCTGCATGTGTGGATGTGCCCAATGAGTTTAAAGAACAGGGGAACTCTCTACCGTGCAACATCCATTTAAAAAACATGTATAGTTTGATCACATCAAAACAAGTTCTCTCAGAAACGAGGTCATGCAGACCTAAAGGAGATCTATTTTTAAACCAAATGGCATCTTTAGACTATTTAGCTATTGAGCCCTGAAGAAATAAAAAAAAAACCTGATTAAATAACAAGAACCTCAAGGGCAGGCGGAGCAACTCATACTCCAGCTTCATTATAAAAAGGCAGTCATCCTGATTTTACCACATTCCTCCTTGCGCAAATCACCTTATCTGCTAGAGAATACGTTTCTTAAACAGGGTCCAAATGCATTGACAAAATATAATAGATTCCACTGTCCTCTGTACAGTACAAAAACACGGAAACATTCAGAACACATCCCAGGGACTAGTTTTTGATGTTGTTGTTTAATAACCCATTCTGGTGTCTACTTCACCCATACATGGGTATTTTCATAACACATTCTAGATCCACAATATTCAGGCATAGGAAAGCTCAACAGAAAGGCAGGTTAATATTACTGATGCTCCGTTTTTTTCAATGGGGGTCCAAACACAGCAAACTAAAACTCCCTGAAAGAGGCACCAACAGAAGTAATCTTGATAGTGCTTCCTAACATTGAAACACGTTTGGGATGCAAGGGAGTATCACAAAAAAAAAGGGTTTAAAAGCTTGCATCTTAAGATGGTAAATGCTTCTTTCCTCAAACCTGATGAAGAATATTTTGCATTCAAAAGCTTGTCTAACTTTATCCCAGGAGGCAGGGATGCATCTTTATAGAACTAGGGAGCACAAGATTTCATGAATCCAAATTCACTTTATTAGATGTTGTTCTTTATCCCAACCATGCAGTTGGTCCACTAAAACACAATCCCCACGAAAACCCTTGCCCCTCGCATAATCCCTGGACCACTGTGGCAATAACATGACTCCAACAGTATTAAATCTTTAAATGTATTTTCCTGCATATTGCTATTCTACTGAAGAAATAGATCCCAATGTCAAACTGTATTAAACAGTTTCTGATTGATGGTAACCTTGACTGACATCATTAAACAGATGTCAGTCAAGGTTACCATACTGACAGTATACCCTCTCAGAGTCACTACTTTGAATGACAAACTTATTTTAAGGCATTCTGTAATCCAACCCCATATAAGGGTTTCTGCAAAATGGAAGTGAAGGTTGAATGGCATTTAAACACACTCCTAGCCAAGCAAGTGCAGTATGAGTGGGCAGAATGTTTCTTTCATGTGGATGCAATGTTGTCTGTAGCTTATCATCTCAAACTGTTTTGATGTGCATTTTTAATAGCTGTACTGTCCCCAGAATAAACTGTGTGACAGTGGGTGTGTCTACATGTGACGCTACTTCACCATAGCAATACGAAAAGGGAATATAGCATCCCCGCGGCAAAAACTGTGATACAGCCACCATAGTAACACGCTTCCTTGTTGTAGTGCATTACTACGGCTACGTAAGGGCTAAAAATAACTGCGCTGCTGGCACGGAACAGTACAGGCTGTTACTGCGCCATTAGTTAGTACTTCCAAAAGGAAATACCAACTAATGATTCAGTAACAACAGCCCCATTGGAGCACTTGTAGATGAGCCCAGTAGTGCATAAAGTGAGCCATGGAATGTGTGTCAAATTTGCGCTTGTAAACACTGGATTCTTGGAAGATACTGTTAGTTTATCATTAACACCCCCCCCCATATAGAATTCTATCCTTAATATTGTACAACTCATTGATACATTACAATATTCCTTTAGTAAATGGATTTTCAATAAACCTGGATTTGCAGCTACTCAGTGGAATCTGAAAAATTCTCCTTTTCAGTTATGTTTTCCCTTGCCTGGGTTCAGGCTAAGCTGTAATTTTTTCCCTCCGGATGCCTGAATAAAATCTGCTCCCTAGTTTTTAAAAATAACTTGGAAAAATATAAGTTTTAGGCACGTATAGCTCAAACATCTCTTCAAGTAGAGTATTTATGAGCCTATGGTTTTGCACATGTATATTTAAACATTTTTGTGAAGTTTAGGGTTATCTTACTATTTAAAGAGCTATGGAATAATGCAACTCACTGGTTTTTAGCCACATTTCAGTACTGACACATTATCAATGACTGTATTATTCACCAGCATCTTCACTAACAACCTTTCAATAAACCTCTTTCACTCCAGTCACCAAACTGAGGATGTATAGAAGATACAGCTAAAACAAGGAATCTGCTCTGGGAAAATATATGCTGTTTGGTACATTTAAAGAATACCACATCAATAATAGAATCCTATTCCTTCCCCCTTTTTCATTCCTACACGGAAAAAGAAAGTAATTCCTCTCTGGAATGATTTGGTAGTACAGGCGGTCCTCGACTTACAATGTTTAGAGTTACAATGTTTCACGCTTACATTTATAAACTGACACCCGGTTTCAACTTTCTGACTTCAGTTTCAACTTTACAACATTTGATCTGACGTAACACCACACCAGCAAACAAGTTCGCTGTGTCACCCATCTCCCTGGAGAACATCTATCTAAACTTCCTTGGACACTTTCTTTAAGAAATTGGACAAGACTCCAGGAAAACATGTAGCCAAGACTCCTGAGAAGACTCCAGTCAGGAACCCTTCAAAAAGTCCAGCAAAGTCACCTCAAAGAAGTCCTTCCAAATCAATATGATTGCTATTTACAATATAAATACATTAATGTAGCTATATTAATCATCTATAATTATTGAATACACAATTCTGGGTTATTTTTGATGAAAATAAGGTATCAGGCCTTGGTTCAGGAACCAATCCCCCATTTATAACATTTTTCCCATAGGAAACATCAGTTTCGAGTTACAACGTTTTGACTTAGGGCACAATTGGTTCCTGAAAACCATGTCTTAAGTCCGAGGACTGCCTGTATCCAGCAAACAAGTGCTACAGAAATTCCTGTGATGCCTTCCTCTCCTTTCTCCTGTTAAACTACTGGTGTGTTTGCATGACATATGCATTCACTTTTATAAATATTAAAATGTTAATTGAATATATATTAATGTGCACATCCTCTGGCTTTTATTCCTTTCTCTTCCATTCTTCAGATTTCATAGTTTCATAGTTGGTAGGGTCAGAAGGGATCATCAAGTTTGAA